CATTGCTGAGAGAGGCATTAACCCTTTACGTGGTGCTTCTAGTGAGGTGTGCTTAGGTTCTGGGGCAATCTGGAAGATGAAGTGGTAGTTGATAGAAGAATGTTTGGACAATGGCTACTCACCTGCCTATTTACCTGCTCAAAAGTCCATACTTAGTCCTTGTCTGTTCCTGGAAAATTTTTTCCTTCTGTCATAATAATGCATCATTAATGTGTCATCTCTTTTCTTCATGTTCCACTTGCTCAGAGATTCTTTTATCTTCCTGATGATGATTATTCTCATTTAGACTTTCATAGAAACTACTGTCCCTCACATTTACCTTTCACAGGGGCTAGTTTAAGAACACTTTGTAATCATTTGAATAAATGGTCATTCCTGCTAATTGATGTAATCCATGAAAGTAGGGATCATAGGTCCCCTGACACACCCCACACTCTTGAGCTAAGAGGTATCCAATAAATACTTACTGAATTAGTGAGATTTCAAAACAATTTTAAAACTTCTTTCAATACATTCATTCCTTTTAAATGTTAACTGATATGTATGTTGCCTTGAGGATGTATTGTTATAAAGATAGCTTAAAAAAACCCCATCAACTTCTTTTTTCTTTCTTACACACTTCCCTGAAGTAAGTATGGCCAGATCCTGTGCTGTGGCTTATCCTGTGGTTCCAGTAGAAATGCTTCTCAATCGTATTATGTCTAGTAGAAAGATTAATATCTTCTAAATTGAAGTAGTCATTGTTCGCAGCAAGAAACATTGCATGAAAGCCTACTATGAGCAAGGGTATTTTGGACCATGAAGCAAATTCTGTTCTTCAAAAAGGGAATAATTTGTTGCTTATCTATTTTCTGAGTTCATAACACTTCATTTTTCACTACAGTATGAGAATGAAGATCATATTTGTTCTTTTGGTGACATATAGTACACAGCTTCACTTATTTATTTAAACGCTTTTTAATTATCGTGATGATGATGATGAAGAAGAAGATGATAGTGGCAATGTTACTACAAGATTCTTTGCTAGATTTACCCCCTCCCCTTATTTTTCCCTAACATATCCAATTGCCTGTTTTTTCTGAGTCAGTTATTTCTAAATTCCTTCTAGGTTAGATTGTATAAACTGTATAACTGTGACATTTTCAGGGGAAGAGATATCAGTTTAATCAGCATAGTCCTGGAGCCTTTCCAGAGGTTGAGTCTTATCTATTGTTTACAGAATTTAAAATGTAGTTTTATTATTACTTGGTTATTTATGAATCTTAGACATATATGTCATGTTAATGCATCTCTTGCTTACCATGACTTGGATGACTAGTTGGCATTGTTATATTCACTTCAAAATTTAAAAAAAATCTTGCTTTCTACCTTTTTATCAACTTGTGTATCTATTCATATGTGTGTTTATGTTACCCTTCTCATGATTTCCCAACCACTGTTTCCTTATATGCATGATTAGAAGGAAATTATGCCTGTGAGTTACAATTTAAAGCTAATCTACAATGACATTTTTTATAAGTTAGATTAGTAGTTGAATATAAGTGTGGGCATAAGATGTATCATTGATTGGGCAAAGGTAAAGAAAGGAAGACTATGTGTGTGACAGCCTTGGGTCCAAGTGAGGATTATCAGCCACTGGAAAGGTTTAAGTGTTGTAATAATTGATTGAGGTAAGTGTGTGCCTTTCGTATATACTTAAATTATTCAGTAATTTTATCCATCCATCACTGGGACCTAATATTACTGAAAATAGCTTTTAAAAGTCTCCCTTTCTTATGCACTGTGGAGCAGACACTGCATGTGGTCTGCTTACACCCTTTTGCTTTTAACATTTCCATACTCACACCACTTCCATTGTCTAGCACAGACCTTTGTTTTCTTTCACTTCTTTGGCCATTGTAATAGCTCCTATAATGGGTTAGAATGGCCAAGTCACTAACAGTCCTGGGAGTGGCCTCCAATAATGACTGATCATGACTGATGTATAAATACCTCTGCTCCCTGTTCTTTGGCCAGGAGAACTCTTGGGTGACTCTGAGGTGCATGTTTTATAGGTGATGAACTTTGAGAATCTCCCTTTTGGGAGTAAATTCCAGTCACATACAGTAAGAGGTGGTATATATCTAGCCCTTCTCTGGTGACTTTCATTTCCCATTTGACTTCTACTTACTGGAACCATTTTTGTCCTTGGCGTTCTAAGTAAACAGCTTGCACTTGAACAAACATTGAGTTGGGGAATTGGGATGGGGAGTGTCTCAAATCAGCACCTGCAATTTATGGTAATGTGAGTAGTGAGAGGAGGTTAAAGAACCAATGATGTTTTAAGTTTCCAGACTATACTTCTGAGGAGAGTAGTTCTTTTTTTTTTTTTTTTTTGGTATGTCCTTTTATTGGTACATTTTAGCTGTACAATATAATGACATTCATCATTGGCGATATGCACCTTTACATACTCTCTTGGTTATTATTTTTCCCGCTTCCCCTGCCCTCCCTTCAACCCCTCCATCCCTCCCTATTTACAAACACTTTTTTCCATTTTTTCATTTTCTCATATTAATTCCATTCCCTTCTTTCCTTCCCCCTACCCCTCCCACTTCCCCCTCCCCTTTTCCCATTTTCTTCCTATTTCATATTATCCATTATATATTTTAGTCCTTATTGCCACTTTGTTTCTCACACTAGAGAAACTATTTGGTATTTACACATGTGTGTCCTGTTTATTTCACTTAAGAGTATTGCCTCAATGAGCATCCATTTAGCAATAAATGTCTCTAATTTCTTGTTTTTGATGGCTGACTAGTACTCCATTTTATTTAAAAAACCCCACATTTTCTTGATCCAGTCTCCAATTGATGGGCATTTGGGCTGTTCCCAAGTTTTAGCTATTACAAACTGTGCTGCTATGAATATGGGTACACATATATCAGTGTGGTATGATTCTTGTAATTCTTTGGGGAAGATACCCAGCAGGGGAATAGCTGGGTCAAATGGGACCTCCAGTCCTAGCTCTTTGAGGTATCTCCATACTGATTTCCACAGTGGTTGCACCAATCTACGCTTCCACCAGCAGAGGAGCGATGTTCCTCTTTCCCCACAGCCCCGCCAGCATTTGTTGTTGGTTGATTTCATGATAGCAGCCATTCTTTCTGGAGTGAGGTGGAATCTCAGCCTTGTTTTCATTTGCGTCTCTTGAATGACCAGTGATGTTGAACATTTTTTCATATGTTTATTTGCTATTTCTACTTCTTTGTGTGACAAATATCTGTTCATTTCAGATGCCCATTTTTGGACTGGGTCTTTAAATTTGGTAGGGCTGATTTTTTAAAGTTTTTTATAGATTCGAGATAGTAGACCTTTGTCTGAGGGACCTCTGGTGAAAATTTTTTCCCACGTTGTGGGTTGTCTCTTCGCACTGCTGGTGGTTTCTCTTGCTGTGCAGAAGCTTTTTAGTAAAAAGAGATCCCACTTGTTGATTGTTTGTGCTAGTTCACAGGCCACTGAGGTTTTGTTCATAAAGTCTTTTCCTACCCCAGTGTCTTGAATAGTTCTACCTAACCTCTATTTCAACCGGTTCAGTGTTTCTGATGGCTTCACCTCTGAATTCTATAAGACATTTAGAGAGGAACTACTGCCACTACTGTTTAAACTCTTCAATGAAATTGAAAGGAAAGCAATACACCCAAAAATCTGTCCTGGAAGCAAACATCACCTTGATCTCCAAAGCAGAGAAAGACCCAACCCAAAAAGAGAACTATAGGCCAATCTCACTAATGAACATAGATGCAAAAATCCTCAATAAGATACTGGCAAACAATGCAGATGATCATCAAGTAGTTCTTAATTTTATATTGACTTTTTCTAGATTCCCACATACCTAGTTCATGTTATGTCCAACTCCTAGCATTCTGGCTATACTCTACCTCTTAGTTCTCACCTAAGAGCATACAATCAGATTGTAGGCACACAAGGACATTACTGTCTATCACAGTAGTTGATTTAATGCATAAGTACATAATGAAAGTTCCACTCTTTTCACTCATGAAATTATTATTCTTTTGGAAACACTTAATATCTGATTGGATACATCATATTCCAGGAACCAGTTGTTGAGAACCACTGTCTAAAGGGACCTGTGATTTCTTCCTTTGGCTCACTGACAATTAAAATAGCCCAGTCAAAACAGCTGCTGAGTCAGAGAGGCATATACTTTCCTTGCTAAAATGTCAGGCTTTAAAAACATCCATTCCCTTGCTTGGAAATAGCTGAGTTTCAGTAGTTGAGTGAAGATTGTGTGAGTTTAGGTGATTGTATCTAGCTTACTTGATCATTAACCATGCAGCTTAAATAGTTTCAAGGGGCCAATGAAAATGACACAGGGCTTTTTCACATAATCGTTTCCTTTTAACCAGTACATACAAATTCATGAAAATTCAAGAAACCGAAAAGAAAATGATATCATCTGCAAGGTTCTTAGACAGAACAGTTTCTACTATTATCATTTTTATCTGTTTTATGCAACATATGTAATTGGTTGCTTTCTGTGGTTATCTCTGAAAAAATAAGCTTCAGATAGAGTACAATTTTATGCTTTATTAGAGTCTCAGAAACTAAGAAAAGTCTTGCTTTAGTATATCTATTGGACTCTTCTAATTTTACTAGAATGTTATCATTATAGAAAATGAGAAAAATTTGAATTTCAGGTTAATATTTTATTTGTTGCAATTATTATGTAGGAAAGTTAATGTTTAATATATTGATATTTAATATTTTAGTACTAGAGAACATTTCTAATTATATAAAGTTGTTTCTGTCTGCCTGTCTTTTACATAAAGTGTTTTTAAAGTATGTACATTTCAAGCATTCTCTATTTTGTATCAGAAAAGATTCATTTTATCTGAGGATTTTGAGTGTGTTTGAAACAGTTTATAGAAGAGAAGAAAATCTCTGTTTTAAAGGAGCTTGTTCTTAAAGTCTAACTTCTTTGTACATATATTTTACAGATTAAAGAAATTATCTGAAGACAAAGCATTCTATTCTTGAGAGACTGGACAAGAGTTACTCTTGCTTTTGGCAATTAAAAATGATGTTGTCATGGAAACAGTTGATCCTGCTTTCTTTCATTGGCTGTCTTGGAGGTAACAATAAGCTGTATTTTCTAAGTTGAGGTTAGAAGTATTCTTAAGTCATGTGCTTCAATGTTGAAATAAAACTTAGCAGTGGCAAAAGAACACAAATATTTTTCCCTAGAAAAAAAGTGCAGTTTCTCTTTTCTAATTATTGTATTCTCATTTCCCTTCCCCCTGAGTTCTGCAAGTTATTTTATTTCTATAGCACATATACTGATACCTATTATTAGAGATCTTCAATTGAATTATAATTAGGATTATTAATAGAGCAACTAAAATTTGAGAATGTTAATTTGAGAACTTTTCCCCAAAAGAAGAAAGTAGTAAGCTCTAACATATAAGGAAGAACATAAAATTTAAAATGTGTCAGTATTTTCATATGAAATATTGAAAAATAGTACTATTTTTCTTTAGCACATTATGAAGATAGACTATCTTATTTTTTAATTTTTAAAGAATTTGGAATTTAGAGCAAAGTAAAAGCAAAAAGAAAATTCTGTATTTATACCACACAAAATTAACTGTTGTAAATTATTCATGCACTTATTTTTGTTTGTTCATTTTATTTTGCTTCCTGGGTAACAGAAAGATATTTGAAAGGTACTATTATATATATATATATATTATATATATATTTTATATATATATACTTTTATATATATGTATACATATAGTATATATACATATATATACATATAGTATATATATACACTATTATATATATTATAGATATATGTAAAATATACATAAATGTATATATCACACTATATACAATTAGCTTTACTATATACAATTAGCTTTTTGTTTATTGTTTTCTTTGTTTTTGTTACAAAAGTTGAAAGAACAATACAATAAGCACCCACAAATGAACCATTTAGGTTTGCTGTTTTATTATTTTATTGTATTGTTTTGTCTATATGCATGTAGTGCACATTTTTTCCATTTATTTATTTATTTATTTTTGGGTAACCCGCTTGAAATTAGGTTACAGAAATCATCTCTCATCCCTAAAAAATTCAGCACTTGTTTCCTAAGAACAATTTCCTACTAAAACACAATTTTTTAATGCTATCTATGGGAACTAACAAAAAAATGTTGTGTGTCACATCTCTTTTTTAATAGGAGGAAGTTGTTGTGGAATAAGGCTAAATGGAAGTGTCAGGAAAACCACAGGGCACACAACAATATATTGAATAGACTTTGGGGCTCCTATGTTAAACTTCAAAACTTCTTCAAATATTTAAAGCATAAAAATTCATAATAATGCATTATAATAAATCTTCCTACTTTTAAATATTTTTTTACAATTTTTATATGTTCTTAATGTGATGCCTCAATTTTGTTGCTAAAACATTTTCTTTGCTACTAATTTAGTATGGAGGAAAAAAGAAGTAATTGTGAATTTATGTGTTTTAAAATGAGCTTTGGAGAAATATTTATCAATACAAATATCCAAGCTAAAATACTTTTATTCTTGAATTCTCTTCCTTATTTGCAAAGTTTTAAATTTATCTTCAGTTTTAATGGAGGGAGCAGAAATACCAAGCAATAAACTGTACCGATGTTATTCTTTGTGATATTAAATTTTGTAGTAGCAATCTTGAAATTTCCCAGCTGGTTGAAAAGAAGTCATACTGAGAAAGTGAAAGTATAGTGTAACTAAAGAAAATAAGATCAGTTTTTCAAAGGCTTAAAATGTTTATTTGGAATTTTACACCCTAGGAAAATTTTATTGTTCAAGTTTCTGCCTTTTTGAGAAATGTTTTGTGTTTATAGTTGAGTTTATAGAAAAAGCAGTATCCCCCTTACTCAGATGTTAAGGATCACTAAAGAATTTAAAGATCAACGTGAATTGGGATATAGTGGTAAAACATGTAAGAAATTTATAAGGAAGAATTTGATTAATTTTTATGAAATAAAGCATATGTTGTATAATACTTAGGAAATTGGTGATTGTCATAATTATATAGAAAAATTGGGCTTTTTAAAACTTTTAAAGTATTGCTTATATACTGTACTTGTTATACTGAATTTTGATACTCCTGGATCTAGGTAAAATTTAGAATAAAAGGCTTGCTTCTGAGTGTGATATTCTGTTAACAAATATTGGGTCATTTTCTAGGTATTAAATATTTGATTTAGGGACTATCCTGTATATCTTAGATATTAATAAAAGCAAGTAAATTCACTTAGTAGGATTTAGCAGAAGATATAAACTCAATAAATGCTGTAACTCCTAGATGAGTTGTATTTTGTCTTCTCAAATTTTTGTTATCCCTTTGTGGATTTTTCTTCCATTTTCTTCTGTTGTTTTGTTTGCAGGTTTTCTCTATAACAAAGACAACAAAGAAGTCAATAGTATTTTCTGACCAGAAATTTATCCAGGAATACATTTGGCTGGATTAACCAAAAATACTAAGTTCCAGTTATTCAGCATCAACATTTAGTATATAATGCACAGTTTACGATACTATTTTAAAAATTGGATAAAAGAGCCAAATTCTACTACTTAATCTAATTATGGAGATTCTCATTTTTCTAAGTTATATATACACTGGGTGTAATAAGTTATGTAAGAATTAGTCCAGTTTCACTTATAAACTCCTAAAACTTTCTTTCTATACAAATAATTATTAAGATCCTTTATATACCAGACTCTATTTTCAGAAAATGGATGGGGATTTTTGTTTCTGTGGGGCTTATAGAATTCTGTCACATTATAGCTGACAAGGACATTGAGTTAGATGGAAATGGTGATGGGGGAGAGGGGAGCAGAATAGCATAAGAGTGTGGAGCACTGAGCTGTGGGTTACTCGTTAAGGTCTTCACATTAGTTCTCATTGCAAAGGAGATATTTAAGCAAAGATTTGGTGGTGAAAAAGTTGAGTGTGTGGATATCTAGGGAAGGAGCTCCAGGCAGAGCCCTAATGTATGACATGCTGCATGCTCCAAAGACTGCAGTAAGGTCAGCCTGGTCAGCATGGTTGGCCTGGGATGAGTTATGGGGGAGAAGTGGTGAATAAGAGCCACTAAGAAATGTGAAGATGGACATAACATAAAATGGAGGACATTATAGATCACTACAATTATTTTGAACTTTTACTAGGATTTCTCTCAGGATACATATAGTTTGAGCAGAGGTGATATGATCTGGCTTATTTCTTTAAAGGATCTTGATGGTTGCCATGTTACAGATTGATTGTAGAGAAACAGGAAAGCAAATAGGGGCACAGATAGACAACAATGAGATAATCAGGCAAGGGATGTTGGTGGCTGATTCCAGGTTGGCAGCAGGGTTAGGCACAATGTTTTGAAGGTTGAAATATGAGTATTTTGAATATGAGTATTTGAATATATTTTGGAGGTTAAACTATGGAGCTAAGTTTGAAGTATGAGAAAGAAAAATGAATTGAAGATAACTTCCAGGCTTATATGACTCTGTTTAGAGTTGAATTACTTCTGTCCATATCAAAGAGTGTACACAGGTAAATTGAAGACCCAGCACCGCATAGGAGTGAGGGTTTTATAAAGGGAAGGTCACTCCTCCTCCTCCGTACTGAGTAAAAATGTCACCTTAGTGGAGTAGGACCAGTGTTTTGAATTGGAATGGATAAATTAGCATTTTAAAAGGACGAATTAGAAAATATCAGAGTCTACCACTCACACAATAAAGTAAATATTGTCTCTGCTGAGTAATTCTAAGCATGTGAGGTTTAGCAGTGGACAAAACAGATAATATCCTAGTATTCGTAGAACTGATGTTTTAATATATGTCTTCTGGGTTCTGATGCTATGTGATTTTCTTACTCAGTTCCTGTCAGAGTTTAAGAGCTGGAGATATAGGTAGAAAACAAAGACAGATAAGAGAAACTACTATTCTAAGCATTCTGACAAGAAGCCAGAAAAGGAAGTAGGATCAGGTGAAGGTTAAAACAATACTAATGATACCAAAATTAACAGCAATCATGTTAATAAATGGAAGCTCATTTACTGTGTCCTGGGCACTGAGAGAAGACTATTATTTCTTTTCTATTTTATTTTATTTCATTTATATATGTATTTTTTGGTACCTATGATTGAACTCAGGGCCCTGCACTTTTGAGGCAGGTGTGGCATCACTGAGCTAAATTCCCAGCTCTCTTTTCTATTTTAGAGACAAGGAACAGTTTCTAAGAGGTTCAGTAACTGTACTGGTCAGTGTAGTTATCTGAAACCTTTTATCTCTGAAATCACAGTACAGTTTCTTAGTCAGAAATGGTTAATTCTTGAATAGTTTATTTTCTTTTATTTATATATTAATTGGTACATTTTAGGTATACAATACTTTTACATTTATCATTGGGTGTTTGTACCTGACAATGATGTATCTTAATTCTTATTTTTTTCCCCATTACCTATGCGCCCTTCACCCCCCCCACTCTTCCCTATTTACATAGATTTCATTTACAATACGAAATAATTGGAATTAATAATTCCAATTATTAAGTGAAATAAATAGGACACACGTGTAAATATCGAATAGCATCTCTAGTGTGAGAAACTGAAAGTGTAAATAACGATGAAAATGATTAAAATGAATAATTGATAATTTGAAATAGGAAAAGGTCCAAAGATGGAGGGGTGGCAGGAGGGGAAGGGGAAAGGGAAGAAAGGAAAGGAAAAATTATGAGAAAGAATAGTTTATTTTCTAGGATAAAGTCACAGGTTTAGAACAAGCTTATTCAACCTGCTACATATGCCTGTGTTAAAAATATAAAACTGCAAGATTTTGATAAATATATACATTAACTATATCATATATTTTATATGCTGCTCAAGACAGTTCTCGCAGTGTGGTCTTGTTAAATCAGGCATGTATAAGCCACAGGTGGCAGGTTAGGTATACCTGGTTTAAAGCATGGACTAAGAATTATTAAAGATCTAAGGAGAGGTTTGTTTTACTACTTCATTATCTGTGAATTAATCACTTGACTGTTTTAGAAATTCTAGATGTTTTCTGTTCATTGTAG